GCATCCCCTTTTCCTTTAAAAATTGGTACTACCACACTCACCTCCCACTCCTCAGGCATTCCTCTTCCATCTAACACTCTCTGGCATAACTCCATTATCACACCAATCCCTATGTCTCCACTTGCAAAAATCATCTCCGCACTCACTTCCGAGGGTCCAGCAGCCTTTCCAGTTTTCATGTCTCTGATTGCCTTCACTACTTCTTCTCAACTCACTTTTTCAACTGGCCCTTCCACCAGATCAGCCTCCACATCCTGATCCCACTCATTCTCCTCATTCATGATTTTTTCCATATGTTCTTTCCAGACTTTACTTCTATCTCTCTCGCTGAAATTCAACTTGCCATCGCTTCCTCTCATACATCTTCCCCCTGTAACATCTCTTCCATCCCCTTTCATTGCCTTCACTATCTTATACACCTTGTTTGGATTCTCCTTAAGCTCACTCAGCACCTTCTCATTTTCCTCCCTCATGGCCTTTGCCACCACTTTCTTTGCTTGTTTCTTCAATCTCTTATACCTAACCTTATTCTCTTCAGTACCACTTTTTCTCATTTTCTTGTACGCATCTTTCTTTCTTGCTATTGCTTCCTTCACCTCTTCATTCCACCAACCTGTGTCTCCTCTGCCACTGTTTATTGCATAGCCACTGTTCATTGCATAGCCACTGTTTATTGCATAGCCACTGTTCATTGCACAGCCACTATTCATTGCATAGCCACTGTTTATTGCATAGCCACTGTTCATTGCACAGCCACTATTCATTGCATAGCCACTGTTTATTGCATAGCCACTGTTTATTGCATAGCCACTGTTCATTGCACAGCCACTGTTCACTTCATAACCACTGTTCATTGCATAGCTACTATTCATTGCATAGCCACTGTTTATTGCATAGCCACTGTTCATTGCACAGCCACTATTCATTGCATAGCCACTGTTTATTGCATAGCCACTGTTTATTGCATAGCCACTGTTCATTGCACAGCCACTGTTCACTTCATAACCACTGTTCATTGCACAGCCACTGTTCATTGCATAGCCACTGTTCATTGCATAGCCACTGTTCATTGCATAGCTACTGTTCATTGCATACCCACTGTTTATTGCATACCCACTGTTTATTGCATACCCACTGTTTATTGCATAGCCACTGTTTATTGCATACCCACTGTTTATTGCATACCCACTGTTCATTGCACAGCCACTATTCATTGCATAGCCACTGTTTATTGCATAGCCACTGTTTATTGCATAGCCACTGTTCATTGCATAGCCACTGTTCATTGCACAGCCACTATTCATTGCATAGCCACTGTTTATTGCATAGCCACTGTTCATTGCATACCCACTGTTTATTGCATACCCACTGTTTATTGCATAGCCACTGTTCACTGCATCGCCACTATTCATTGCGTAGCCACTGTTCATTGCATAGCTACTGTTCATTGCATACCCACTGTTCATTGCGCATACCCACTGTTCATTGCATACCCACTGTTCATTGCATAGCCACTGTTTATTGCATAGCCACTGTTTATTGCATAGCCACTGTTCATTGCATAGCCACTGTTCATTGCATAGCCACTGTTCATTGGATAGCCACTGTTCATTGCATAGCCACCATTTATTGCGTAGCCACTGTTTATTGCGTAGCCACTGTTTATTGCATAGCCACTGTTTATTGCATAGCCACTGTTCATTGGATAGCCACTGTTCATTGGATAGCCACCGTTTATTGCGTAGCCACTGTGCATTGCATAGCCACCATTTATTGCGTAGCCACTGTTCATTGCGTAGCCACTGTTCATTGCATAGCCATTGTTCATTGCACAGCCACTGTTTATTGCACAGCCACTGTTCATTGCATAGCCACCATTTATTGCGTAGCCACTGTTCATTGCGTAGCCACTGTTCATTGCGTAGCCACTGTGCATTGCATAGCCACCATTTATTGCATAGCCACTGTTCACTGTACAGCCACTGTTCACTGCACAGCCACTGTTCATTGCATAGCCACTGTTCATTGCATAGCCACTGTTCATTGCATACCCACTGTTCATTGCACAGCCACTGTTCATTGCATAGCCACCATTCACTGCATAGCCATTGTTCATTGCATACCCACTGTTCATTGCATACCCACTGTTTATTGCATACCCATTGTTCATTGCATACCCACTGTTTATTGCATACCCACTGTTCATTGCACAGCCACTGTTCATTGCATACCCACTGTTTATTGCATACCCACTGTTCATTGCATAGCCACTGTTCATTGCACAGCCACTGTTCATTGCATACCCACTGTTCATTGCATACCCACTGTTCATTGCATACCCACTGTTCATTGCATACCCACTGTTCATTGCATACCCACTGTTCATTGCATACCCACTGTTCATTGCATACCCACTGTTCATTGGACCACCAGATTTTTATTCAGACAATCATTATTACTTTTGTATAGCAATTCAATCATCTGCCAGGAAATAACCATATTCTTATACTTATGGAATAAAATTTATCTGTTAAGCATATGCATTAATGCATGAATCTTCACTACCTAGATGAATTACGTCACTAGGAATTGCATTTTGTGTCCTATTGTTCGTATTTTCCTCTGACTCTTCTTTTCTCATTTTCCAATTTTTCTTTCACGAGCTTGTTTGAGCGAGAACTGCTGACCAAAATATTGTCAAATTTTCTTTGTTGACAAAGGGTTAAAGCACGGTGATCGTCGCACAGTGCATGTTCAATTTCATGTAAATAAACAATGTATTTTACACACGTTGTATACGTCGCTATGAGTCCCATATCGAACTGGATGCGGCGTGACGACTGCCGCCCTTTAATGTGGACTGGTGCACCTGACTTTCCAAATTTGGATTGGTCACATGGTTTGGCAGACATATTGGTTCAAAGCAATCCCTGAAATGTCCTCTATATTACATACATTCATTCTCAGTAATCTGTAATTTGTGTTGTAACATCATTGGCATGTGTGCTACCAATATCACAAATAAAAATACACATCACATCATCTTACTTTTTGTACTCAGAAAAATGGCATAAAACATTCTGAAACCATTCATCCAATTGATCTGAAATTAAGTATGCATTATCTAAAAAATATGTATTATTTAATTTGATTGAATTGTATCAATTGGTCACAAGGTTCAACCGCTATCATGGAAATACTCTGTTTCCCATATTTCAGGGCTCTCAGAGATTTGAAATTGTTGTTAGGTAATACAAATATCATGAATAAAAGTTACATCATGTCATGTGACTTTTTGTCATATAATGATTTTTTTTAAAGTGGCATGATTTATTAACTTTTGACTTTTTAGCTCTGCTGTCGACTTTGTCAAGCAGAGCTTATCATATGAGTGATTGTCTGTCGTCTTCCATCTCAGATTTGTTCATTTTGTGATGATGTCTTCAATTCTCTAATTTTGATGAATATTTTTGTCATTTTTTGGTAAAAAGTGATATTTTAAATTCTTGTTAAAAACCGCAAGTCTGATCGCTTTAATACAATACATATAGATACCTCAGGTAGACCTCTCTCAGATTTGTTCATATTGTAATGATATTTTCAATTATCTAATTTGGATTAATAATTTTGTCATTTTTTGGAAAAAAGTGATATTTTCAAATTCTTGTTGAAAACAGCAAGTCTGATTGCTTTGATATTAGACACATTTTGTTCATTTTCTAATGAATATCTTCAGTTCTTTATTTGAAATGTGCATTGCTAACAGCGGAGCTATCTCAGCCGACAGACTGCTTGTTTGAATTTGTCATAGAAAAATATATCTCTTCTGTCAAAAAAAAATTATTCAAATCAGTCACATGGTTTGATACATTCATATGCAAATGACTAATCTGTGAAATAAACAGGGGCGGAGACAAACCACTCAAATGTTTGGAAACACTCATTGTGTGTCAGATAGCTACTGATAACACATCCTAACATTGCTTTGTCTTGAGTTTATCTTTGAAACTTATAGGCACACAGATTAAACCTGTGTTGTTGATTTTGGAAAACACTACTGAGGCTGCCTTGCTTCCCTTCAGAAAATCTACATTTTAACCAACTTACATGACATTCTATGTTACGTTGACTTTATCAGATGAAAGTTTATAGTGCATTTCATCAATTAATAAATAAATGTGAAAATCGTAATTTTCAACACAAATAATAGTCTCGCTATCTTAAAAATCAATTTTCCTGGAAACTACTTGCTCAATTAATCTGAAATTTAGTTGTATCATCTAGGTTTTACAAAATGTCAACTTCCCAGAATTCACCATAATTGATCACATATTTTGGCAAACATCTTGAATTTAGGAAACCAAAGAGTACTATATGTACTAAAGTATTGAATTTGTGTTGCTATTTGGCGATTGTACTATCTACACGTTTTGATTCAGTATGGCTCATTGACACCACCGTGAGTGTTAGAATTAGGACAATCAAAGTTTGACTCTTCGTTCACATCCAAATTTTTTAAGAAAATGCTTTGTCTCAGAATAATAGTCTGTTAAAGGTACCAAGTATGAAAGAATTAGGGGACAAAAAAACAAACATCAATGATTTAGTTTGTTTTACAAGGTTCGTCATTATTGTGGTAATTAAACAACGTAAATAACGACTGTCCAGTTTGTCAGAACTTGTTCCTCTATACTTATGCTTTTGAATCATATGGTATATGCTAAATTACGGTTCTGAATTAGACAACACACAGATGTTTTATTCAAAAACGTCATAAAACCCTTCTTGCTGTCTTAATTCACTGTTGCATTTGCCAGATTGAATTGGAATATACTTTTAAATTATCTTTTCCACATATAAGAAAGTATATCAAATTTGATTTCTTTTTCTTTATCACAAAACGCCACTTTTTACACCACATCAGAGTTATGAAATCAAACATCATATTCAAATCAGTCACATGGTCTGTCCACAATATTGGATTAATAAAACATGGTTTTAAAATGCTTAAAAATCAATTTTCCTGGAAACTACTTGCTCAATTAATCTGAAATTTAGGTTGTTACTTATGAAATCAAACATCATATGCAAATTGGTCTCATTGTCTGATATAATAGCCATATCATTGTAATTTAAGAAAACAGAAGTATTGACTTCACTAACCTGTATTCTTCTTTTTTTATCTTCAAGACAAATAACTAAATAATTAAAAAAATTATAATTAATTAAGAGTGTAAATAATAAATATTGCAAATGATATAAATGTTGAGTTCTGGAGATGATCAAGACGATACGTGTTTGATTGATGAGTTGATAGTAAAATTCAATGCATATACAGACTGTGTCTTGACTATCTCTACGATGTACAGTAAATGCGACTGTTACCATGGCAATTTTCTTTCATTGAAAGTATTTTTAGAGTGTTAATTTGACTAGGCACCATTTTCATGTGTATTTGGTCTTTATATACAGTACGTGATAGGAATTATAAATCTGTTTATGTGTAGTTACCATGGTAATGGCATGTGGCACGTTTTACAAGATGTAATGTTGTCTAGCGCGGTGAATCAGATCAGATTCAGACATCTTTCACGGGCATTTTATTCAACCCCAAATGCACTTATACATTGGCTCCTGAACATAGCTTTTGCAAAATTATTATAAAAATAAAAAAATGTATCTGTCGATATTTAAGTTTCTATTTACATTACAAAATCAGGGGTTTTTCTAGAAGAAATGAACAAGAGGGAGCACACACAGGCGCGGGAGTGACACCATATCGGAGTGTTTCTGCACCGTTTTAACGGTGTATCTATTGCCATTGAAATATTTTTTGAGTAATTTTAGTGTATTTGGTGTCCAGACACATTGTCAGCTGGTGTTGCTGGGAAGTTCTCACGGGGAAAAATATATTTGAGAAAGATTTCATGTTGTACGGCAGCACAGAAGTGCCCGTCTCAAGAAATATGTTTATGACTTGAAAGTTCAATCGGCAATTCGGTGAGAGGACACAGTTGATATTATCAGGGCGCTACGCACCGTGTTCCCCGGTTTAGAAAAAAACCTGTATTATGTTACGTTACATTATATTAATGTTTTTTGTAAACTATATAATTGTCTCCTACTTCTAGAGTGTTTGTTTGGTGAAGCACCATTTGCTTCAAGAACATTTGCAGAACTTGCAGAAAAAATCAGGGATCCGAGTCCAATTTGTGTAAGTGTACCAATTTTTGTTCAATGGTGTTTATTTGTCATCATTTGCAAATTTTTGAAACAGATTTTTTTTCTCAGATCTTGTCAAACTTAATTAATATAACAATAACACATTTTTTTTTATAAAATTGGTTTTCATGGCTTTCATTTTATCTGTAAATAAAAAAAATAAATACCCATAATCATGCAATACCATTGATTGAGCCGAATTAAAAGGGCTATTTTTGTCCAAATCTTCTGAAGGAAAGTGCAGACTAGAACTAGACTATTTTGTGAATTTGTGATGAAAAGAGGTAAAAAGAGCGACCTTTATTCATTATTATTTTGACAAGTGTTATTTTCATAATTAATCTCTTCTACAGTTGCCAGCAGGTTTCAATGTATCTGACCAGTGTCGCGATCTTTTACTACGACTTCTGCAAAGAGACCCAAAACAAAGGATATCATTTGAAGACTTCTTCAATCACCCTTTTATAGACTTAGAACACATGCCGTCCGCAAAAAGCCTGGAGAAAGGGGTAAGTGGGTTACCATGTGACTGTCTGACCCCCTAACCCCCTAAAAGATTGTATTACATGTAGGCTATCATGTGACTTCCCCAAGAGGTCATACGTTCTGGTCTTACAAGTGTGAAATGTGTGTTTAAATATTGCATGGCTAAATTTTTTCTCATGTCACTTTATTTTAATTTTTAATTTTAATTTAAAAATTTAAAAGGTTTCAAATTCTAACTACTTTTTAAAATGATTCACAATACTAAATCTATTTTCTAGATATTATGCAGCAAGTATGGCAAGCAGTTTCATATTTCATATTAAGCTGAAAATTATTATAATGTAGTTTGTGTTGGGGTGAAGCAGAAGTCATTGACTTTTGAATTGTGTATTGGCTCTGATTTCCAAGATTTGATGTTGTAACTTGTGCGGAAATCCTGCGATTCATAGATAAAAACAATTCATCATCGAACGTGACAGGATTTCTTGTCACATTGAATATGACCATCAGTTGTCAATCTATCTCAAAGAGGATCTTAAAAAAATAATACCACCGTATAATGTTGTTTTTTTCATCAGAATTTGTAAAACACTGATGAGTAAACTTCAACTGTCTTGTTCAGAATAATTAATTGATTTTCTAGATCTTAACGAGACTTGAATTTACTAATCATCACATTGATGAATATTTCAGTTACTTTTAGATGTAAAGGAGATTGTTTTTTCTCAGTTTGCATTGAATTAATTTTTATACTGATAGGTCACGCTATTCATTTTAGTGCAAAACATTTGATAACATCAGCTGATAATTTGTGATATTCAGGAAAAAGTTAGGAACAAATTGCAAAAAAACAAACACAGGAAATGTTATATTGTAGATAAGTTATTGGCATTGAGCAGAAGTCTCCTACCAGTTTTTTTCACAACAAAGCAGGAAACTGTATATTCTATTCATATGTATTTGGTGCTTCCTTACATTCAACTGTAGTCCCTTCTACAAAAACTTGACAAGTTCATCCAAATGTGATCCACCACGTATACATTTAAGAAAAACAGCGCCCTCTATGTGCATGTTGAGCCTGAATGAGTGTATTTGTATAAAGTTTATTAATACAGAACAAATGTAAAATCTCTCTAATTTGCGTCCTTTACTCTCAAAAATTATGTAATAGTCTATACAACAACTTATGAGTACTAAAATTACTGATAATAAAGAAAGATAAATTGTTTAATATTAATTTATTGTGTATATTTAGCATGAAGATAAAGGAGAAGGATATATATAATTAAAACTTGAAATTGCTGGTGTTTTTCTAATGTTCATGTTAATCTTATATCTCAAACATGGATCAAAATATATTACTAAAAAAGTTCTATGATAAATAATGATTTTTATTTTTAGTGCCAATAAAAATTCTATTCCTTTCAGAAGCTCTCAGATAATTAGAATGATTCGTATTGTTGACTAAAGTGAACTATTATTAGTTCCTGTTCAGACGCAGTCCGAAAACAGGGCCTTATTAATTGACCTATGTGCATTTGTGTGTCCGTGTATATGTGTGTCTGTGTGTCTGTGCGTCTGGACCTATATCTTAGACATGCCTGGACAGACTAAGTTTGTACTGAAAAATCATTGAAATCAAGCAATTCTGGAATTCCAGAATTTGATCTCAGTTGTTTATTAATGGATTTCGTTCAAATTTGGTACATACATTAGACATGATTGGTCCTTGATGCACGTCATTTTGTTTTTCAGATCGGATTCAAAATGGGTGACTGGTGGCAATTTTGTTTTAATGAATGCAGTTCTAGAACTATATATATATATATATATAGAACTATATGTATATTTCTGATATGCTTTGACTGATTATTTTATATATATTTATATACCGGTATTCAAAATGGCCGACCAGTGGCCATATTATTTAAATTAATGCTGTTCCAGAGCAATATCTCTCATTATGGACAAGTATTCAGATACAAGATGACTGAATATCAATCATTTTAATGTTAACAAAATCATCATAATCAAGCATCAGCTCTAACATGTTTATGTTAATACTATATTACTATAAACAAAACTATATATCGTAAGTTTTATAGCTAATGGGAACTGTGCCATGCATGGCTTGTTATTAGTAAACTGATATGGTCATTTATTTTCTGCTCAAACTGTGACTCATTTTAACATCTAGCTCAGCTTAAATATCAATAATTGGTAATGACGAAATGAATGGAAAATAATCTGCTTATGAAAATCTATTTGTTAGGATTTGATTTGAATTTGCTTTTATCCCTCTTGTATGTTGCATTATCAGTCTTAAGGACATCAAACATTCCAATACCTAATATAAAAATACCAAATATACCATTAATTCTTTGGACACTTTGTAACAAAATGTAATTTATTGTAAGCTTTCTTATTTTTCAGAAATCCCTTGTATCACAAGCTGTTATAAAGGACAGAGAAAATGATGCAAGAAGTGCAATTAAATATTACTGTAAAGCACTGGAATACTTAGTACCAGCATTGCAATGTAAGTTACACACTTCTGTAAAGCACTGGAATACTTAGTACCAGCATTACAATGTAAGTTACATACTTCTGTAAAGCACTGGAATACTTAGTACCAGCATTACAATGTAAGTTACATATTATTGTAAAACATTGGAATACTTAGTACCAGCATTGCAATGTAAGTTACATATTATTGTAAAACATTGGAATACTTAGTACCAGCATTACAATGTATGTTACATATTATTGTAAAACATTGGAATACTTAGTACCAGCATTGCAATGTAAGTTATATATTATTGTAAAACATTGGAATACTTATCGGTAGTACCAATATTACAATGTAAGTTACATATTATTGTAAAACATTGGAATACTTAGTACCAGCATTACAATATAAGTTACATATTACTGTAAAACATTGGAATACTTAGTACCAGTATTACAATGTAAGTTACATAATACTGTAAAACATTGGAATACTTAGTACCAGCATTGCAATGTAAGTTACATATTATTGTAAAACATTGGAATACTTAGTACCAGCATTACAATGTATGTTACATATTGCTGTAAAGCACTGGAGTACTTAGTACCAGCATTGCAATGTAAGTTACATATTACTGTAAAACATTGGAATACTTGGTACCAGCATTGCAATGTAAGTTATATATTACTGTAAAGCACTGAAATACCAGCATTACAATATAAGTTACATGCTTCTATAAAATTGGAATACTTAGTACCAGCATTACAATGTAAGTTACATATTGCTGTAAAGCACTGGAGTACTTAGTACCGGCATTACAATGTAAGTTACATATTTCTGTAAAACATTGGAATATTTAGTACCAGCATTACAATGTAAGTTACATTCTTCTATAAAGCACTGGAGTACTTAGTACCAGCATTACAATGTAAGTTACATACTTCTGTAAAGCACTGGAGTACTTAGTACCAGCATTACAATGTAAGTTACATATTTCTGTAAAACATTGGAATACTTAGTACCAGCATTACAATGTAAGTTACATATTACTGTAAAACATTGGAATACTTAGTACCAGCATTACAATGTAATTTACATATTACTGTAAAACATTGGAATATTTAGTACCAGCATTACAATGTAAGTTATATATTACTGTAAAACATTGGAATACTTAGTACCAGCATTACAATGTAAGTTACATATTGCTGTAAAGTACTGGAGTACTTAGTACCAGCATTACAATGTTAGTTACATATTACTGTAAAACATTGGAATACTTAGTACCAGCATTACAATGTAAGTTACACATTTCTGTAGAACATTGAAATATTTAGTCCCAGCATTACAATGTAAGTTACATATTGCTGTAAAGCACTGGAGTACTTAGTATCTGTAATACAATGTAACTTACATGTACATATTACAGTTTAGGCACTGGATTACTTAGTACCTGTATTACAATATAATTTACATAAAACTGTTAAACACTGAAATACTCTGTACCTGTATTACAATGTAACTTACACATTTCCATTAAGCACTGAAATACTTAGTACCTGTATTACAATGTAACTCACATATACCATTAAGCACAGAATACTTAGTACCTGTATTACAATGTAACTCACATATTATACCATTAAGCACAGAATACTTAGTACCTGTATTACAATGTAACTCACATATTATACCGTTAAGCACAGAATACTTAGTACCTGTATTGCAATGTAACTCACATATTATGCCGTTAAGCACAGAATACTTAGTACCTGTATTACAATGTAACTTACATATTACACCGTTGAGCACAAAATACTTAGTACCTGTATTACAATGTAACTCACATATTACACCGTTAAGCACAGAATACTTAATACCTGTATTACAATGTAACTTACATATTACACCGTTAAGCACTGGAATACATAGTTACAATCTAAGGTACATATTACTTCAGGTCTCTAAAATACTTTATTCTAAGTGAAAAGTGGTTAAGAATAACAAATTAGGAAATCTCACTGTATCCATACTGGCTATTTAACAAAGCTTAAAGCGGGGGAGTCGTCACCTGCGCATGCATCAGATGGCCATAGCCTGTCATTTACAAACATGCGTCTACCCATGAGTCTTTGCGTTTTTAGCGTGTGTTGTTGTCATAGCTTGGGACTCAATTCCCATGCGTGCTCAAGTGACAACCCTCCCGCTTTAAGAAGTGAGCACTTCTTTTCTTTGCTTGTTTAAGCAATGAGGGCGCTATATTTAATGGCTGATATTTTGATTTCAACTTAAATAAAAAAAATTATGTGTCTTTCCATCATTATGCCCTATAATTGGATATCTACATTAGGCATACTGTTTAACTACATATACATTGTTGTATATTGACCAATAGCATTTAAGTATTTGGTTTATTTATTTTATTCTTTTAGTTGTGCAAGACAGAGAGAGCAGAGAAGCTCTCAGGGGAAAGGTAAGTTTGCCAGCCAAAATTGAAAACGCTTTAAGGGTTGAACATTAGAAATTCTGGATGGTAGAAATGTTGTCCAAATATTTTAAGTTTTAAGCTACATATTTTTTTTTCATTATTATGATGTTTTGGGCTTTTCTTCTATCAAATTCCTTTTTTAGCTCCGCTGTCGACTTTGTCGAGCGAAGCTTATCATATGAGTGATTGTCCGTCGTCTGTCGTCCGGCGTCCGTGTCAATGTTTTACTTTTTTGACTTCTTCTTGAAAACTACAAACCTGATTGTTTTGATACTTGGTGTATATGTACCTTGGGTAGACCTCTCTCAGATTTGTTCATTTCATGATCATATCTTCAATTCTCTAATTTTGGTGAATATTTTTGTCATTTTTGGTAAAATGTGATATTTTCGACTTCTTGTTAAAAACCACAAGTCCAATTGCTTTGATATTACATATATGTAGTAGTACATGTGGATCACTCTCAAATTTGTTCATTTCATGATGATATCTTCAATTCTCTAATTTTGATGAATATTTTTGGTAAAAAGTGATATTTTCGACTTCTTGTTAAAAACCACAATCATTTATGGTGAAAAATGATATTTTTGAACTCTTGTTGAAAACAGCAAGTCCCATAGCATTGATAATATGCATATTGTTCATTATTTAATGATATCTTCTGTTCATTAATTGAAATATGCATTGCTAACAGCGGAGCTATCTCAGCCGAGACGCTGCTTGTTAATATATATTTTTTCTCCCATAAAGTTTGTTCTTGTTTCTTCAAAATTTCACATCTGTGTTGATTTGTTTTTTCCATATCTACCAATCCAGCATGGACTGGTAATTGTTTTTCGTTTGTTTTTATCTGTCATACTTGAATATCCAGGATGATAATAGTACTACATTAGGCCTCACCAAAAAGTTGGTCAAATTATACTCTCAAAATTATTGTGGATCATTTTTTTGATAAAATATTTCATGGCACACACATTTTGCTAATTTATTCAAATCATCAATACAGGGCGGTTTGCAGTAATTAAATGTATTTTTTTATGTGTTTTATACAATTGAAAGTCGTCTCTCACAAGGCATTGCAAATATATGCAGTAACATAATCACTAGTGATCAATTTAAATCCAACTATCTGAACTTCCTGATTCACCTCCCCCCTCCCCACTTTCCTAGTTTCAATTGTTTAACTATTGTTCCCACTCAGGTGTGTGAATACATGCTAAGAGCAGAGGAATTAAAGAAGTCATTCAAACCAAAACACAGGGATGTGAGAAAAGTTCAAAGACATGAGGAATCTAGTAATCTTACAGAGCAGAATAAAGATAGAGAAAATAAAATGCCATTTGACAACGATGAAACGAATGTTGGTGTTACAAAAGCTGAAGATATTCGACCCGTTACACCGATGGAACAGTCGGCTGATGTTGCCGAAGCGACAAGCTGTAGTGACACAATCTACTTATTAGGTACACCAATGATAAATTAAAGAGTGATGGTAGTCACGTAGCCTGACAAGTT